ACGTGAGTGTTCACAGATGCTCTGACAAAGACTGACAAGACACAGCAGGACTATTTATACATGAATGGGAATGAGAAACAGTTAAAAACAAACAGGAAAATCATAAAGGAGGAAGAAAAATAACACAAAGGACGAAAGAAACCAAACTTTCAAATTAAAGAGGAAATATTTTTTTAAAAAGCTAAACAAAGATGAGAAAGAAGCACTCAGACTAAAATGATGAAAGACCATGACAGTCATAAATAAATAAATCTATATTGATGGTGCTTTGTCCAGTTTGTTTCACTTGTTACTCTTGTGAAGTCTTATTAATTTATGACTTTAACAACTTTTAGAGGTTTTTTCAAGAGGACACTGAGGCAGACAGCACACCATGACACTATAAATAACTGAGAGTAAAAATTCATAACAAGACTGATTAAAGTCTTCAGGCAGGACTTTAACTGACTGACTTGTGGTTGAGTCTGTTTTCAGATTACCCTCATCACGCTGTGCTGTATTTTAACCAATAAATGCAGTGGAGTGTGAGCTGTATTATATACAATATTTTGTCCCTCAGGTTATTCCTGAAATATAGTTTGTTTCAAGTTTGTTATATGACGGGTCACATTTATTCATCCACTTCTTCCTGGTCTGCTCATGTCAAATCTGCCATCTAGTGGTTAAATTGAGGAAGTGCCGAGTAATAATGGCTAGACCTCCGTGTCTGTGATAGTTCTGCATCTGCTGCTCTTTAAATGGCATAAAGTGTAAGTTTGGGCAGATGATGGATTGTTTCTACATATTAGTGCTCTTTCCTTCTTGTGGGTCTGTGACGTTTGTTACATTACTACTGTAAGCTAACTGTTAGTGCTTTGTTTTACCTGTTAGCATAAAACATGTCAGCATGTGGTATTTGTATTTACGTCACTTGACAGGCTTTGTCCAGTTATTGTTAATGTTATGATCTTGCATTGGTCATGTGACATTTGTGCATCTACACTGAGATTAAATGTACCTGCTCTGTTTTGTTGTTACAGTTTTACAGACTGAAAGTGCTACAAATGGTACATCAGTAAAAGCTCTGAAGAACGCCACAGTCTCCACATGGAGCGTTTACTGAAGCCATTTATGTTTAACTGCACAGGCTGAATAGAAGCATTGAGTCTGTGCAGAAGATAACATGTAAACACAGGGAGGATATTATTGAGCACATTATAGGAGATAACAGCTACATATATGAACAGGAAGAAA